AAGCAATTTAGCAAAACCCTATCAAGAAATAAAAAAGGTCTGGAGAGGTGGCTTAGTGATTGAGTATACTTGGGTTCAATCCCTGACACCAAAAGGCAAAAAAAAAAAAAAAAAAGAGAGAGAGAGAGAGAGATTTTTCCTAAGCTTATTTTAAGTGAGAACAATGCTTGAACATTCTTTACCTCCTTTGGAAGAGAAGCCACACCCTTCTGCTTATAAAAACCAGCCCAAGTGCCATAAAAACAAGATGGCCGATGCCATCTTGGTGGGCAGAAGACATTGGGAAGCTGTAATGTTGAACTGAACTGATGTTGAAAATGCAGTCCAGCAATGATGGTGAGACCTTAGGAGCTGAAAAAGACTCAACTGAGGGCACTTTCTTTCTTGTCCCAGTTGCTAATTTTTCTCTATAAGTCTAGTGTGTGGAGGTTGGGACAGGGGAACTGCACAGAGGCAGTCCCTAGATCACCCATGTCTGTGGTCAACTAGACTCTCAGGAAAGGAATCAGTTATAATGTATTTTCTTAGTAGATTTACATATGCAGATGGAACTCAACTATATGCATGATTCATCTGTTGGTGCAATGGGTGAACATTTGTTTTCTATCCACAATACTGAAGAAGTCATTTAAATTTTAAGTACAAGAAAAGCATTCATTTTTGAAATGAGATAATTAAGCTATTTTTTAAACACACACACACACACACACACACACACAGCAAAACAGGACATACCATCATTTACAAACCTTCCAGAAACTGAACTCTATTTCCCTTGGTGCCATTTGGCATTTTAAAGGTGGGGGAAATATTTTTCTCTTGCTAGCTTTCTGGACTGAATAATCCAGGTTGGAACCCCTGTACTCCTCAACTTTCACTGGTACTTTATTCTTGGAAATAATCAGAATGATTATTGAAAAACATGATTGTCTGGTACTGTCTTATATGTTTTAGGTAATTTCTCATTTATACCTCACAATCATTCCAGGACTTTAGTACTGAAACTGGAAATTCCAAGATCACACAGTCACAAAGCTGGGATCTTAATCCAAGCCATCAGACTGCAGAGTTTGTACCCTTAGCCTCAGTAACCTATGCCACCCATAATTACTGTCTGAAAGACCAGATGTTTTGTAACACTTCTTTCTCAATGCAGACACCATTATGCAAGGTGAGACTTGGTCAAAGCATAAATAATAACAAATAGAAGTGGAAATATTTTGACTGAAGGAGGAGTGGGAGTGGGTAGGGTCTGGAGCTTCCATCACTCACTTCACCTTTTAACTCTTGAGTCTTCATAGCTCCGGCTCCTAAGGACACATCTCTTTTCCAAATTGCTCTTTCATTTGTCTGAGCTTCTCTCTAGTAGATTCCTATCATTAAATGCAGTCAGACCTCATTTTACACAGATTCCATATTTGCTAATTCACCTTCTTGCTGAAGTTCATTTGTAACCCAAAATCAATATTTGTGGTGCTGTCAAAGTCATTTTTGGACACATACAGTGCAGTGAAAAATTGGCATCACCCAATATACATATTTGCAGCTGAAGCTGAACAAATGAGGCTGTGCTTTCTTATTTCTCCTCTTACACTATAAATGAGTTTTTAGTAAATAAACCAAATAGTTTATTTAGTGCCATATATTTTTTTCATTTTTGTGCATTTTGTTGGTGATTTTGCTGTGTTAAACAGCTCCAAGTATAGTGCTGAAATGTTGTCTAGTGTTTCTAGGTGCAAGAAAACTGTGAATGGCCTTACAGAGGAAGCATATGAGTTTTATGAGTTTCATTCACGCATGAATTATAATGCTGATGGCCATGAGTTTAATGTTAATGAGTTATATGATATATTAAATAAGGTCGATGAACAAAAACACACACAGATATGTATTGACTGGTTGAAGAAAATGTTGTGACCAGGGGCTCATAGGAACAGAGGCTCATATGTTAAAGGCTTGGTTTCCAGCCTGTGGTGCTTTTGCAAGGTCGTAGAACCTTTAGGAGGTGGGGCCTGTAGAATAAGGTTATTGGGGGCATTCCCTTAAAGGGAATATTCCCCTCTCTTCCTGTTTCCCAGCCACCATGAAGTGAATAGGCCTCCATAGCCATGTCCTCCCATTGTGGTGAACTGTGCTACAACAGGAACAAGTTGCCATGTACATAAACCTCTGAAACTGTGAGGCAAAATAAATATTTTATCTTATTAAGTTTTATTGTTTCAGTATTTTCTTCACTTTAATGGAAAGCTGGATAACACAGAACCTAACATTGTATTTCCCCAAGGATTCATAATATTCACTAATTCAGAGCCTGTGACCACTTTAGAGAGCTTGATTACCACAAATAATGAGAATTGACCATTGAGATATTTATTTATTTATTTTGTGGTACTAACTAGGGATTGAACCCAGGGGTACTTTACCATTGAACTACATCCCCATCAGCCCTTTAATAAAAACATTTTTGGAGACAGGATCTTGTTTAGTTGCTGAGGAGGTCTCAAACTTGCAATCCTCTTGCCTTCGCCTCCTGAGTCACTGGGATTATACGTATGTGCCACTGTGCCCAGTCTAAGAGTTTCTTATAGGAAAAAAAAATGTGCTTATTTAAATTGACCCTAATTCTCAACCCTATAAATTAAGTAATATTAATAAAACCGAGACCTAGATAACTTGTCAATGTCACTAAGGTAGAGAGAGGTAAAACCAAAGCCAAATAGTAGGAGATCCCTATTGTTTTCTTTCCTTTTGGATCACTGCTCCCACTTTGTGAACTCATCCTGATTTGTCATCTTGCATAATCCAGCCCTATTGGTCTCTCCCTGCTGCCCCCAGGTTTCTTTTACATTGGCTTCTGCACAGCACTCTCCCAGATCTCTCTACTCCCAACAGCTGCCCAGTGGAAACCTCCCTATTGATTCTGGGATAATTTTATAGGAGGTAGCCAGATGCTGGGTGCTCCAGCCACATTCTCCTCTACCTCTTTCCTGCTCCCAGCAGAAAATTCTGCTTCTGGTAGCCATTGGGGTCAAGATTTCGAAGTAAAGCAAAAATGTCTCCTGCCGAGAGAGAGAGAGAGAGAGAGAGAGAGAGAGAGAGAGAGAGAATAAAAAGAAGAGGAAGAGAAGAAAGACAAGAAATGGGGAGAAAAGTGGACCTGGAGGAAGAACAGGAAAGCAACAGGATGGGGTGGGGACAGGCAGGGTTGGCTGCCCCAAAAGAGAAACTGGGGCAAACAGAAAGATAAGGATGGGAATCAGAGCAACAGGCTTTGAGATTGTCTAGAAGACCTATGTAATTCTGTATATTTTAAAATTATTTTCATGTCTCTAATCTTGTTTTGCATATCATAACTATGAATATGTGAAAGGCACATTCTTTTTCTATTTTATTGATCAGAAAATTGAAGCATGAAACCCGCTAGTGTTCTGCTCCAGATCATGCATTTTTAATGTACTCCACATTTGGGATAGATTATTTTTATCATGCAGCAAAATTTAGCAATTTTTCAGTTTTTCAATCTTTAATCCAGTGTCCAGAATAGTCTACAAGGCAAAATAAAATAAAATAAAGGTTCTCCTTTGTTTAAAACTTGTACTACATGTCTGTTTCAATACTATTAACTACAACTGCCTTTAATTTTATCGATCACGTAAAACCATTTGACTAAAATATAGCAAGACCACTGATCATTTCAAGGGGGTCATGATGGGAATCAGTCATGTGGGTGAAGATAAAAGCAGTTTTGTTGTGCTCTGTTTCTGGGACTCTTTCTAGGGATATTACTAAAGTCAAGAATAGAAATGAAGAATAGGTAGGGATAAAAGACTAGCTTTCATGGAAAATTGAAATCATTCCTTTTAAAGTCTGCAACTTCTACACTGAGGCTAGATCTCCAGCCTTGCAAGATGGGTTCATCTCTAGATATAAAGGCAGTTGCCTTGATAGGATCTTGATGGAGCTGTGATTGATGTCACCAAATTCAGTTAGTGTTATCTTATTATAAACTTAATGATGTTTATTAAGCAGATTCAATGGGAGCAATCCTAGAATTTGATAAGGCCAGGAGATACAAAAGAAAGATGTACTCTATTGGAGGTTTTATAGGCCAGTTAGGGACTGGAAGACTACTGATGTAAGTTGTTGCCCTCGCCCCCACACACATATGCAAGGTGCTCCCAGTGTCAGCAATTGATTTGTGCCTCTCAAGAATGCTGATACTTCTTATTGCAAGATGAGAATATCTATGAGATATTTAGTGACTTCTTCGATGAGTAGGAGGCTGCCCTGGTATTCGCACCAAGCCCTTAGTCTCTCAGTGAAAAGCTCTTATCATTTACCTGCCCAGAAAGGAGTCAGAGAAGAACAGAGTCAGAGTCGACATCCACAATGGGGACACACAACTGAGGCGCAGATTTATGCAGGCATTGATGGTATAAGAATTCGGAATAAGGGCAAGATCTTTTTATGAGAGTGTGATGATGGGTGGGTTATGCTTCCTAGAAAAGACAAAATAAACATTTTAGGGCTTCTTTCACAAATGAAGTGGTTGTGAAAATATTTGCAAGGAGGAAATGGCTTTTTAATAGAGAAACTTGCTTGGCTAGAAAACAAAAGTTTTTTTCTTGGCTAAAAGTAGTGCTTCTATTATATCCTGAAGCGTCTGGCTGTCCTGGTAGAGACATCTGAGTACAGCCACAGGCCTGGAATATCCTAAGAGGGTAAGAATAGCCATAATAAGAAATGACTCCCTCCGTTCTGGTCCCTGCAGTTGTCAGGAATGCTGTGCCTGAGAGGCAAAGGCAAGCAAGTGGCTTAGGGCTGTCTCAACTTGGAAGCAGAGACTTGCTTCCTAGCCTGGGCTCAAATTTTTCCTTTCACAGCTACAGCTCTCACCTTTGTAGCTAAAATACATTTATTTCTGCAAAAACTTTCCACCTCCTTGGTGAACACCAGCCTCCACATCTCCAACGGCCTTGAGTCCGTGGCCTTCTGGAAGCATGGAGAACTTGGACTTGTTGGGCTTCCTCATCATCACATTAAACTGCAATGTGACCATCGTGGGTGAGTATTGGGAAACCCTGCCTGTTCTATTTTTGTTTTTAGGTTTGCATTGAATCTTCCTTAAAGGGTCAGTGTGTATCCTAATTTTCAGTTTGCCTGGCCCACTCCCCAAAGAAAGGCCACTGTTCAGACCAGAGGTAAGGGAGCTGTGGGTACCAGCTTTCCTCTAATTGTCCCATGGTTCCACCATCATGGAAGGAAGTGTTGGGTGAGGGCTTTGTTCTATCACAGGGTTTCTGCTTGTTGACAAGTGGGTGCTGCATCTGAAGGCTGAAGCATGTGGATGGGGGTGTTTTTGTGTAACCCTTCTTCATTGCTAGGAAAAGAAAAAATTCAGTAAGAACTCATGAGAAAATAATGCCTGGATTATGCTTTCTTCTCTTTCATCTTTTTCAATTTTATCCTTGGAGCTTAATTTGTAAAGATTAGTAATTTCTCTTACACATTTTAAACCAAATTCCAGTTTTAGTTTAGTTCCTTTTTTTTTTTTCATTTTTGCAACACTGGAATTATACCCAGGTCTTTGCACATGGGAGGCAATCACTCTACCACTGAGTTATGCTCCCAGCCTCCTAGTTATTCTTTAAACAAAAGAAATAATAGAGAATTCTGCACTTGATGCAATTGAATTAAATTTTCCGAGAGGTGCGAGGATCATAGCAAAAAGGATTGAGAAAAGGACTAATATATGCCTGAGATGTCATTGATAATTTCCTTACTCATTAGTTTGTAAAATTTAAAGAAAATCAATCTGTTAAAAGTTAAGCAGATGACTTTATCACCTAATGATAATATTTTTTGAACTTAACTGCCTTCATATATAATAGAGTTTTGTTTTTCTGATATCAGGTGATGTTTTCTCTGTCTCTTCACAAAACACAATATTTACAAATTATCCTGGGTATGTTTTAAACGTGTTTCAAAATAGTTGATCCATATCATGGAAGTATACCTTTAAAGTTATTTTGGGTTCCTAGGTTAGTCTCATTCACCCAAGCTAAATTAAAGAAAGATAAGCCTCGTTTTAATTTATAGTAACTGGAATGGGAGAAAGGAATTCTAAATTACTGAAAAACATGAGTATTAGTAAAGAAATTTAATTTCAAGGACCACAGAGCACATTAAATACAAGCCCTTTGATTGAATGGCAAACTTGTGAGCCATTATCGTAAATAAGGGGGATACTGAAATTAGCAGCTTGTATTTGCTCAACACAGTTACAGGAATATGCTAAAATCCTTTAAAAGCTTATTCTCCTAAAAAGAATAAGATCTTACTTACATCATTGATTTGCTTAGCCAAATTTTCTTTCTGGGCCGTTTAGTCCAAGAGCTATGCCCCCAAATTTGAGTCAGATTGTAACATTTTTAGTATATAATGATCTTTAAAAATCTGCTCATTCGGAAGCACCGTACAAATGAGTTCAAGTGCAAATAATTCGGGTACATTCCCAATGCTCCGTAATCATTTATCAAATGAACAAACTAGCTGATGCTGTTACTCTGACTAAATATATATCTATTGATTTATCAGTTCTCCATTCTCAGCCCCATGCAGTATTTAAAAACTATACTTTAGAGGAAATGGGTTTGTATTTTGATGAGACCATTCCTGCTTTCTCTTTTCCAGGAAAGATCTGGCTTATCTTCATGATACTGTTGAGGATGGTAGTGCTCATCTTGGCAGGGTACCCCATCTACCAGGACGAGCAGGAGAGATTTGTTTGTAATACTCTGCAGCCAGGATGTGCCAACGTTTGCTATGACATCTTCTCCCCTGTGTCCCATCTACGGTTCTGGCTGATCCAGAGTGTGTCTGTTCTTCTGCCTTATGTGGTTTTCAGTGTCTATGTCCTCCACCAAGGAACCCAGCTTGCAGCCCAAGGAGCCTGCTGGTCAAATGGAGTTGCCACAAGCCATAAGCCCTCTGACCTGACCACTGGAGAGAGGCACTGCCCACAGCCCTGCAGGGCGGGGTGTAGCCTGAGTGTGCCAGATTTCTCCTCTGGCTACATCATCCACCTCTTTTTTCGGACCCTGATGGAAGCAGCTTTTGGGGCCTTGCATTACCTCCTCTTTGGATTCTTGGTCCCTAAGAGATTCTCTTGTACACACTCTCCTTGCTCCAGCGTGGTAGACTGTTATGTTTCTCGGCCCACAGAGAAATCCATTATGATGCTTTTTATTTGGGCAGTCAGTGTGCTCTCCTTCCTCTTCAGTGTCATTGACCTGATCTGCAGTGTTCGGAAACGGATGGGCAGGAAGCGAAGCCCCAGAGATGGACACTCCTTCCCTGTCAGGAAGGAGTGTGGAGCCATGACTTCTCCTCCTAACCACACTGAGGGATGTGAGGCCTCTCAGAGACTGGGGGAGAGGCTGGGGGAGATGGATGAGGATGGCAGATGGGGGGAAACGGGGGTGCCCACTCTCCCTGGTGTGTGCACCAGAGGGCAGGATGTCAACAGCCCCAGCAGTAAATTGGAGCAGGTGGAGCCCCCCGATGAAGATGGGAGTGAAGTGATGTCCTCAGCCAGCGAAAGGTTGGCCATGGCTCACAAAGAGCCTGGGGGCAGGTCCTACAGAGAGGTCACCCAGGACACCAGGAGCAAAGGCCCTGCTAGGTCAGAGCAGCAGCCCTCAGCCTCTCGAAGCCACCTGGCTGAGCACTACTCAAGCAGTCAGCTACAACTTGCTGACCGGCTGGCCACCTCTGGCAGCACCCCGCACCTGAGAACCAAAAAGTCTGAGTGGGTATGAAGAGAGACTGTCATGCACAGCCCAGCAAGCCCACTTCTCCAGCATGGGTGTCACTGTCCTGTGCAAATGATCACAGCCATGAAGATGCACACTCGCTCAGCAGGTGTGAAATCTGTCACTTGGTAGTTTATTAGGCAGACAGGTGAGCTGGAATAAGGAAAAATGGACTTCCTGGTAGACTCTGGTACAGGTTCAATTTGGATGACACTTGCTGTTGACAAAAAAAAAAAAAAAAAAAAGACACTGAAATGCCTGCACCAGGCTGAAATAATTAATTGGAGACTGTAAAGTTTCTGATTATCATGAGATTGGTATATATGCTACACTATCAGAAATCCTATTATCTTATTCTTTTCCATGGTATTTGCTTAAGTAAAGCATGCTCTTTTACATTAATGGAGCTCATTAATATTTTGATATTTTCTGGTGAAATATCATGAGGTTTTTTTTTTCCTGCTTGGATGATAGAGATATTAGTTATGCATGTCATCAATAGAGAGCAACTAGTTTAACTTTAATAAAAGGCATGATGATTGCATTGTGAAGGCACATTTCATACTCCCTTGTGTTAAAGGAGAAATGACCAATGCAGAAAATATAACTCATGAGCAATTTGTTTGGGGGGCCATCTTATATTGTTATTGCATGTGGACATAGGGTGCACAGGATGGGGGTGACCCCATGGTTTCCTGAGGTGTCACTTAAGTGTTTGCTGAATGGCTGCCTTTACCCTATAGAAAGAATATTTTTGCTGTTGATAAGTGGTCACAGATTTGTCATGAGGTTTTCAGTCCAGGTTTTGCCTGTGCCCTTTAGAAAGTTGTACACTTTAAGATTGCTCTGAGAGTGTTTGCATTCTCATGGATCAGACAAAGAAAAACATGAGTGTCATGGAAGCATGGTCTCAGTTTGTGCTTTTTTGTGTGTACACTGGAAACAGCTGCCCTAGGCCTTGGGATGGACTTTACCCAAGTGTCTCTCTGAACTTCCTGATGTCACTGTGATTTTAATTTAGCTACTGACACAGTTAAAGTATGTATCTGTGAGATTTACTGCTGCCTTAAATTGGGCAGATGAGAGGACGCACCTGCTGTTGGACAGTATAAACCAACTTACTTTGGGTACAGTTCCAGGTCATCTAGAACTATACCCAGATGGAAAAAGAGCCATCTGGGTATAGTTCTAGAATCGAGTATTAGCTCCTGGTCCACAAACATGGAATGGCTGAGGAAGCTTACTTCACTCTGGCAAGTAATAAAAAGGTGAATAAATGCACTTGTGAAAACAATGGATACTTTTAACTGTTCTAAAGAAGAGTCTAGCAAAGCAATAGTTGCTAAAATGAAGAATAATAGCCTGCTAGATATATCTATAGAGTGGCAAAGCAATTGGTTAAAACTTAAAAAAAAAAAAACCCAAATTGGTTTTGGCATAAAGTAGTTTGAATAAATGTACTTATTTTGTAAATTCTCCCTTTGCCACTCTCAAGCCACTTAAAATTTTATAACCTCTTTCTTAAGTATTTATACCAATGTCTGAACACAGTGACTGCTTAATCAATATGATGTTATGTCTGATATTCATGAAGTACTCAGGGTAAAATCTTGTTGGTGTTCCTTGCAGTGTATAATTCTGGTGGACTTTCCAAGGTTGGACAAAGTCTTATATAGAGAAGAATTCCTTAGGGTTACATTACTATTCTAAAAATAAGCACCATATGACTCTCAAATGCCTCAATAGGAACCTTAATAATATTGAATGATGAAAGGAAATCAAGTCCCCAATACTGGTGGTGTGTGCTCATGTAGGGTGCCTGGGTAATAGCTGGGAAAGGAAGGCCAGGCAGGGCTGGGGCTCCCTCGTGGCCGTGGACCCAGAGAGAACTGGGCAGATCATGGCTGTATTCCTTCGGCTACTGGAGTCCATGCTCAAGTGTGGGTTTGTAAACAAAAGTGATTTTATGTGGGTGGCACTAGGAAGGGCTACTTTGCCTCTCTGGTGATGTCCAAAATCCTACTATGAGAGAATCAGAGCCTTGAGGCTTGTTCCTTGGGAACCTGTATATGCTCCTCAGCCATTGGGTACCACAAGAGAAGTGCAGAGGTAATGAGCCAAGGAGATCTGGGTTCTTATCCCATATCCACCACTACTTGGCAGATCACTTTACTGCACTGGGTCTCAGTTTCCTGAGCAATGAGGGACCCAGAATAGATTATTGTAATTAAGAAGACAGTCTCTGTGCTTAAGCCTGAGTTCACTACCAGTTTAAGACTGTCAGTGAGATATTTGATTCAGTAGCCTTTCCATCTTGCTAACTACCTAAGCGCAGGTTTTGATAAGATCAGGAGAGGCCTGTGCATTGTTCATTTCTTGCTATTATAACAAAATACCTGAGAATGGATAAATTATAAAGAAAAGAAAATTCTTATAGTTCTGGAGGTTGGACAGTCCAAGATATGGTGGGGTCCTGCATCATGTCATGGCAGAGGGCACTGCATGGTGAGAGAGAGCAAGTATGCTGGTGCAAGTCTCTCTTCCTCTTCTTACAAAGCCACTCATGTCCATATGGGACCCTCCCAAACATATGAATCTGGGAATTAAGTTTCCAACATATGAACTTACGGGAGACACATTCCAATCATAACAGCCTGCATATCCTTAGAAGAGCTGCCTACGGAGAGATGGGGATCTCAAGGATAGTCGGGGTGGGTGATCTGAGGACAATTCATTGCTTTTACATCCTCCTGCATGATGGCTGAGGGCTGAGTGGACAGACACAGAGGACCTCTGAGTTTGCCCCATCATGCGAGGAGCAAGGTTGCAGAAGAGGTATTGAGTTTTCTGGACCTTGGATGACTCCTTGGGATGTGCAGATGGAGGAATCCCTCCTCTTTTCTTTGCTTTCACACAGGACACTGAAAATCTCCCCTGGTTTTATAATTTAGAGTTTCAAGACTTAAATTTTTTTTCTGGTCATATAAGGGGGAGAGGGAAACCAAACCAAACCAAATCAAACAAAAACAACTACAACAAAACCCAGACTACACCTAAAAGGTTGCAAGAGTAGAAAATCGTGTAGCTATCATTTCCTTTTGAGATTTTAATTTACTTCTTTGCATCTTTGAAATTTTGGATGAATAAAAGATGATTCACAGGTTCAGTTCCTGCCCTCACCCTAGAGGTTTACCAAGTACCATATTGCCTAAGGCAGAGACAGCATGCAAATTCTAGTGATTATAGCTGCTCTCACAGGTAAACCCCAATTTTAGAAGAAATTTTGTGAAGTACAAAGCAGGTGTTCATGATTGAGGAGCAACTCTGCTCTAGGTGGTGACTTGGAAGTGGGGGGTTGTTCCTAGATCTCCTAATTCTAACATCTTCTGCCCACAGTGCCATGATTGCTGCGGAAGGGAAAAGAGGGGTGTTTTAGTCAGCTTTTGACCAGAATAATTGGGGGGAGGGGGTGGTACCAGGGATTGAATTCAGGGGCACTTGGCCCCTGAGCCACATCCTCAGTCCTATTTTGTATTTTATTTAGAGAAAGGATCTCACTGAGTTGCTTAGCACCTCATGTTTGCTGAGGCTGGCTTTGAACTTGAGTTCCTCCTGCCTCAGCACCACCATACCCAGATTAATCAGAACAATTTTGAAGGAGGAAGTTTATTTGAGGGCTCATGACTTCATAGATCTTAATCCATAGAAGGCTGGCTCCATTCCTCAGGGTTTGAGGTGAAACTGAATATCATTGTGGAAGAGTGTGGCAGAGAAAAGCAGCTCATATAGTGATCAGAAAGCAGAGAGAGAGAGAGAGAGAGAGAGAGAGAGAGACTCCACTGTCCAGATATAAATATATACCCCCAAGCCAGCCACACCCTACTACTTCAGATACCACTTAGTTAATCTTTATCAGGGGATTAATTCACTGATTGGGTTAAGATTCTCACAACCCAATCATTTCTCCTCTGAACCTTCTTGTAGTTTCTCGCGTGTGAGCTTTTGAGGGACACCTCATATCCAAATCATAATAAGGAGCCTCATAGAACAGGCCTGGAGAGGGCATTGGTTCAACTGGCCACATTCTCTGAGTAGAACCTAATTCTAACTTTTGAGAAAAATAGCCAGAAAGAAGGAGGAAAAATTTGGATGAGCAGTTAGCCAGTGTTTGTCCCAGACAGGACCATCTTTTCTGGATACCTGCCCTCTAAGATGCATTTGATAAATTCTGGTGATCAATATACTGGTCTCCTAGGAAAAGCTAAGCAAGGCCATGAGCTCAGGTCCTTAGATAGCATGTTTGATCTGAAAAAGCCTTGGGCATTATTAAAGTTGCTAAGCATATCTAGCAATATTTCTTTTAGGAATGAAAATCTGAGAGAAAAGATAAAGTGAACTGACTAAATTTGGCCTACAACCCAAATCTCTTCTACCTTGGGACTGTCTTCTTAATTATAATCATTTTAAATAACAAAGGATTGCAATTGGCTTAAGTGAGTGTGCACGTGTGTGTTTTAGTTTAACTCTTTGATTTTTGCACAGTATGAAAAGCTCATATTTTCCAACTTGCTAAGGACTTCTCAGAAATCTCTTCCCAGGCAGATTCTAAGGTGACCCAGCACTGACAGGAACCCAATGGTGAAATCCAAACTCTGAACCAACACCTCCAGCTGGCTACCTGCAGAGACAAAAGCGAAAGAGAGATTATGAGGATCAAGGGGATTGTGTGGATAAAACATTGTGCTCAGCCAAAGGAGGAATTATTTGAGTCGCATTAATAAATGAGACTCTCACTTTTAATGGGCTATTACAATCTGCTGTAAGAACCTATTTCAATTTTTCTGGGTATAAATTTTGTTTCAGGCAAGAAGTGGTGGGGAGGGTTGTGCTTTAGAGACAAGGAGAAGGGACATCTGCATTTCTCAGGTGCAGACTTGCTGAAGATCTGCAATGTACATGCCTTCCACTTACAACTTCATTCCAACTCCAGGAGCTGGGTTAGCAGC